CAGCTGTGGCACTGCCCATTTCCTCATATGTAGGAGGATAATGATGGCACCTGCCGTTGTAATAACACTGATGACAGTCACAGTGAAACACTGAGTCCTTATTGTGCCCCATATGTGTCCCCCCAGCAGCTTCAGGACACCTAAGCTGCCCCTCCCCCTTCCTCTTCTTTGTCCCCCATCCACATACAGAATCCCTGTCCCCACTCTGGATCTGTGTGAGCAAGAAGGACACCAGTGTCACTGCTCTTCTTTGTGCATTTGACAGAAATGCTCAAGGATAAGAACAAGCCTGCCACGACATCTCGAGCCAAGGGCCCATGGGGCCGAAAGAGGAGGCCAGGGCAGGGAGAGGAGACAGCTGACCCTGAGCTGAAAGCATCCAGCTTGGAGACGTGCAAGGGCTTCCTGAGGTCTGTACTGACTCACTGGGGGCCGCTGATCCCCAGCCCTGACCCCGCTCTGGAGCCTGCAGACTGGGGCAGCTCTGAGAGTAAGGTGCCACTTCCTATGGATGCTGCTGCTTCCCTGGCAGTCCGCTGGGTGCTGCGGTCCGTGGCTGAGCACCCACTCAGCAGGGCAGAGGCTGCAGGACTCCTGGGCTGGCTTCAGAGACACATTTTGCCACACCCGGTGGTCGTGGCTGACCTCCTCAGGGACAGCGCTGTGAAAAGCAGCATATTCAAGCTATATAGCCGGCTCTGTGGTGCTGAGGGGCTGGCGGGGCCCTCGCAGGATGTGGCCTTCCTGTTCAACACGGTCATGCTGCAGCTGGTGGCTGCCCAGGGCAGGGCAGGGAGCCCTTTGCACACGGCAGTGGAGGCTCTCTCCCTGTCCTCTCTGAGCAAGAAGGATGAAGCCACACGAGGTAAGAGGCTGAAGAAAAGGCAGAGTGAGTTTGGGGGTGGGTAACTTCTGCTCCTCAGAGCCTGTTAGGTTTCTGCCAGCAAGTTCCTCAGCTCGGGACTTTAAGTACCTAGGTGGCCCCTAATCACAGTTCTGGGAGTTGTGGAGAGTTTGCTCTCAGGCACTGAAAGTGAAGGGAAAGAAGTCTTTGCCTTGGCTTTCAGGGGAACCCATTAGTGCCAATCAGTGGAGAAAGGCGCCCCCCTCCCTCAGAACCTCAGTGTCCCCCCAGGGGCTCCTCCACCTGCAGAGTAGTGGGTATTCTGACTTTTACCCAAATGAAGAAATCTGTTTCATGTCACGGCCAGGTGCATGTGTGTGTGCTCGTGTGCACCTGTACACTTGATGCACTTAGTGTTTAGTAGGAGTCTGAAAGTTTGAATGCATGAGTGAATGAGTGAATAGGTGGAGACCACTGGCTTTAGATGGCTCTAAGAGAATTCGAGAAAGGTGGGTGTGGCCTCCTCTACCCAGGGGGGCTATTCCTTTCGTGGAGGGAGATAAGGGAGCAGGGGAGGGGCCACCAGAACTGGCCTGATAGCAGGGTGACCCCTGTCTCTCATCTTGCTGAAGTCTGGGAGTTTTTGCCTATGAAACTCTCTCCTCCCCTCCTCACCCATACCACTGAGGAAATGACATGGACAGATTCCAGGAAATTCTCCTCAAGGTCAGTTCTGGTTCCTGGCCTACGTGTTGAGAACCAAAAGAGACTTGTCTTATAACTTTTTTTAGGGGATCCACACATATTCATGATAAGAAATTTTTTACAAATTATAAATGTGAACACAAAAGATGGATGCAAAAGCTAAGCAAGGGCAAAATTGTTTGTACCCATCTGTGCACCTCAGGTCGCACAGGCGTGTGGCACAGCCCACCCGGTGTGCAGCTAAGCTGCGGGTTGTGGGTGGGATGGCTTGTTTGCCCTCTGCACAGGAGTGCATCCTGACAGCCCGTTTTCGCCTCTCCCTCAGCCTCTGCAGCCTTCCTGGTATCTCTGTATATCAAGGACATCTGGCTGGGGGCCCAGCGGCCAGACACCCTGCTAGCCCACATCCAACTGGTCTGTGATGCTGCAGAGGACGTGCCCGGTGCCAGGGAGGAGGCCATCGTAGTGCTCTGCAAGGACCTGGCTGTTGCGGCCTCAGATGTGTGACTCCCCACTGGCTGCAGACTCAGACTGGCGTCCTGGCTTTTGGAAGTCTTGGGCTATCAAGGGTTTCCAGGGAAGGTGTGTGAAATGGCAGGGGCAGCACTCTGACTCAGGTTTCTGACTAGAAGAGTTGAGAGGACTATTTAGCCAACCAGTAAATACTAAGCTAAAGGGTCTGTGTCCCAAGTGCAGAGCCGCGGTGAGTGTGGGGTGCTTCGCGAGCTTTAGGCAAGATCTTTCCCCTTTCCTTCAGAGAAGCACCTCAAGTTGAGGTAGCTCTTCTGAGTACAGAAGGGATCCATGACTGTTAGAGCTAAAATGCCTAAAAATATGTCCTATATGTTTTTGGTGAGCATAGAGAAATGTAGTGAAGTTTTTTTCCTATAAGAAGTCATAACAAAGTTTAGTGTGACTTTTTGAATAAATTAGTTCCTGCTAATGTTTATTTTATGAAAAAAAAGGATTTTACACTAAATCCTTAAAGTAGAAAAATGATTAGACCTCTGCTTTGCAAAGACAACTTGTATTTTTTCAAAGTTATGTTTCAAGGAAAGAATTTTGAATTTTATAAATTATTAATAAACGTCTATTTTTGTAAGGTGCTTGTGTTTTGCTGTAGTTGAGATTAACAGGCTATTTTTATTCCATGGAGGCCTACATTTTACAGGTCAGAGTTTGACTTTTCAGTTTCATATATTAGTGGATATCAATATGAAAAGTCAGTATGAAATTTCACAGTTTTCACAGATAAACTTCATTTGAAACCCTCCTGCACACACTGGCCGCCCGGGGGTTGCTCTGTCAGCTATGAGGTGGCTGTTTCATTGCCATTTGATATACATGGTGCTGGGAATTGTGTGTGTTTGCCTTAAACCTTTACCCTTTTATATACCGCCTGTGTTCTTTGGAATCTCTTCTGTTTGCTTTAGGTGACTTACTGTTTTAATGAAGGCAAGAGTAATGCTTGTTTGCATGAAATCCCTTCATCACAAGTAGAGCTCATTGTCTAAAAAGCAAGGATGACTTAAACTTTCTCTGTCCCCTTGCCTGTCCTCCCAGAAACCCCATGATACTCCTTGAGAATATTCTGAAGTTGGGATCCTGCATTTAGGTTCAAAGTGGACAAGCACTGTTTCTATAAAGGCTGCCTGACTCTTTCTCTTCTCTAACTGATTACATTAGTAATCAGCCTTTCTGTGGCACATGTATGCAGAGTCCTCTGGTTGCAGGCAGCTCTGCTCCCTCATGGGGAGGGGCATTGGCTAGAAAAGGGCTAGTCTGGGGAACACCCTGAGCTCCAGGCCTTTGGGCTTGCAGGGAGGGAAGGTTAGCTAGTGGGGCAGGTTCTCACAACTCCATGCCAGACCCCAGGCCTCAGCTGCCTCCCACGTCCCAACAACTGATTAGGATTTGATTCCCCTGCATGGCCAAGGCAGGTGCATGCCAGCGACCTGGTGACCTTCCCCTCCTGTGCCATGAGCCCTGGAGCAGAGGGAGTTGCCCCCTGGCATGCCCTGCTCGTGCCTGCCTTCCCCGGGTGCCCAGGTCCCAATAGTGGAGCAACTCTGTTCCCTCCTTTCTCTTTTTGTGGCGAGCCCCCACCTGGAGTGTGCATATTCTAGTGGTTGAATCAGACAAAAACAAGTCAGGTATGTGCTGGGGTAGGTGAGGGCAGGTGCTCCAGAGCTGGGTTTCAGCTGAGTAAAGTGAGAACACGTTTTCAGCATCTCTGGGGCTCACAGGTCCTACTTTCCCTCCTGTCTTCCAAATCCGCTGCCCTGGAGGCTGGGAAGCCCAGGCCTGCCCTCACCTTGTAGAATTATTTTCCAGGGTAGAGGAAGAGTTTCACCCCATGGACAGTGATTTGAACACAATCTTCATTCAGGCTTAAAATCCAAAACACTGAATTACGAATATTTTAAGTGCTATGGTAAAAAAGAGGGAAGCACAGATTTTGTTGTTGTTGTTGTTGTTTTGGGACAGAGTCTCTGTCTGCCACCCAGGCTAGAGTAGTGTGGCGTGGGTCTATAGGTGCCGGCCATAACACCTGGCTAATTCTTTTTTCTATGTTTAGTAGGGACAGGGGTCTTGCTCCTGCTCAGGTTGGTCTTAACTCCTGGGCTCAAGGGATCCACCCCCTCTCAGCCTCCCAGAGTGTTAGGATTACAGGTGTGAGCCACCGTGCCTGTGGCCGAGGCACAGTTATTTTAAAAATCTACTAGTCCCTTCCCTGTCTGAAAGCTGTGGGTGGTGCATGTGGATTTTCTGGGCCGTGTAGTGTGATGCCATCACCCTCCCCAGGGACAGGGCTGCCAGGTACTAGAGGACTCCCTGGAGTGTCTCAGATCTGCAGTCACATCCAGAATGGGACACTTCCTGCCAGCCTCAAAAGGTTCTCATGTCCTGGAATAGCATCTGGGTATAAGTCCTGGCTGCCCTTCCTCCAGGGGAGATGCTTCCATGGGCTCTGTCTTTGAAAGGCTGCAGGGAGATTAGGGGTATAACCTGGGGCCCCTGAGCTGGGAGGGCAGGCACCACCGCATCTGGATGAGCAGGAAGAGTGTCAGCAGAAGATGAGTGGGAACCCAGCTGGCTTCCCCACAGCCCCGACAAAGCTGCAGATGGGCCAGGTAAACTTGGGGCTGAGAAAACAGTACAGAAGGAACAGAAAGGGGCAGGGTAAAGTGTTTTTCTCTCTTAATTCATATATATTTATTTTCCCATCTTCCCCACACACAAACATAAGCTGCAAGGAGGCAGGTCAAGTGTGCTAAATAAGGGCAGCAGTCCCTGGGATGAGTTTTCTGTGCCAGAAGGGCCATTGTAAGCCTTTGTCAAAGGCATGTGGTGCAGCTCCTATAGCTGCACTTTCTGCTGTGTGCAGACAGCTTCTAGAAAGACAACTGGTTACTTGGATTTCACCAGTTCACTCAGCTATGGCCATAGTTTACTGGTGTCTGTTCTGTAATGAAGAGTTTTTAATCTCTGGGGAAGGCTCACTGGGCTTGTCCTTGACATCAGCTGATGCCTTGGAGACCCTCTTTGAGTGCCAGCTCCCAGAAGAGAGTGGATTTGTCTTGAAGGAGCCTGGGAGGGAGGCTGAGGGACTCTCCTGCCACAGCCGCTGGTCAGAGCCAGCTCCACTTTCTGGGTCCTTCACTGAGCTTGGTGGGGTCTGTGAGGTCCCCTGGGGGAGCCTGTGGCATGGCAGGTGCCTCCGGATACAGAGGGGAAGGCTGAGGCTGCGACTCCAGGGGCATGCTCGGTGGTGCTGGGGGCCACTCCTGTGGACAGACCAGAAGGGGAGGCAGGCGTCAGAGGAGCTGGCTGGGAAAGGTCCTTCCTGGGACAGTTTCTTGCTACTCCCTCCTACCTGCCTGGAGCCCATGGGAGGCACCCCTCAGGGAGGCCCTCCAGAAGTAGCTGGTGTAGCGAGATCTCAGAAAAGAGGAAGTACTTTGCCTGGAACAAGGCCTAGAGTCTTTTCCTCAAGGTTACTTCCTATGTTCAGGTAGTCCTGAATTTGAATATAGCTCATTTCACATCTGGCCCCTAAACCAACTTGTGTATCGACTAAAAATGTGCCCTCCCTGGATGGATTCTCCCCACTGGGAGGGCTGGGGCCGTGGACACAGGTTCCTGGCTCGAGCCCCAGCCACCATTTCCCACCTACTTTTAGTTTCATCCATAAAATGGGACAATAATTGCCTTGTAGGTGTCATCAGGATGAAAAAAGGTGATATACTGATGGCTGTCCAAGCTAAAAAGTATCGCACGTGCTTATGATGCTTCTGTGAATGATGAGCACCAGGAGGGACCCGGTGGGGCGGACGCCCTCCTTCCATGCCCTCCCTGGCAGCCTCCTCAGGAGAAAATGGACTCCCCAGGGAGGCACTCTCTTTCCTAAATCTTGCTAAGGCTCTGTTTTGCTGCCCAAAGCATTCCCTGTCTGTTACAGAGCCCCTTGAGAGCATTTTCTTTAGTGAACCCTGTGGACAGTCAGGATTGTAAAATGATAGCCCTGGAGGCCTATGCTGTGCACCGCAGCTGGGCTTGGCAGACAGGGGAAACTTCTGCCTGGAGAATGACTAATGATCCTTGCAAACTGTTCTGGACAGATGACTTGCTACAAGTCACCTCAGAAAAGTAGAGGGACAAAGGTGACATTACTGATTTATTCCTCAGGTGTTTCTGGGGGGAAGGGGGTTAAAACCTGGTGAAATTCAATGTGAGTTCTAAAAACTGAAAGAACAGAACAGATTTGTTAGTTGCTCCAAGACTGCCTCCTGTTGTGTGTGGCCCAAGGTAAGAAGTGAGCTCGGTGAGACTCCCGGGCTGGGGTGGGTTGAGGGAAGGGAAGAGCCGGAGGCCCCTCTGGGTTAGCTCTGTGCTGTGGTTTGAATGGGTTTGTCCCCACCAAAACCCATATGCAGGCTTGGTTCCCAATGCAGTGGTGTGAGGTGGTTGGGCCTTTGAGGGGATTAAATAAATTCTTATCTTAGTCACCCAGCACCCCAAATAAACCTCTTTTCTTTGTAAATTACATGGCCTTGGGTATTCTCTTATAGCAACTCGAAATGGGCTGAGGCATTCTGAAATTGCATGAATTCACATATTTCTCATGGGAGCTGGGGTGGGACCCCAGCAGGTATGGAGCCTACCTTCTGGTTCTCTCTGGGGCTTCAAGGCCCTTTACCTCTTCCTCTTAGAAAAGCTCTGCTCACCTCTCTGACTAGATTCCTATGTTACTCATGGTTTCCACTCCCCAAGACTTCTGTCCAGCGTCCAAAGTGGCACCTGAACAGGACCAGTGGCTCCTCCTCCTAGGCCTCTCAGCACAGCCCTGTAGCTACCTGGTCCATCTTTCAGGTTCCTAATTCCAGATCCCAAAGACAGGAATCTGACCAGCCCCAGCTCTTCTGCAGGACACCTGGCATTGGCCAGTCTCTGGGTGGGCCCTCTTTGAGTCATTTGTCCGCCATTGTTCTGACCAGTGATAGCGGGATGTAGGGTCCCAAAACCTATCATTAGGACAGCAGGCACTATAGGAATGTGGCAGCTAACTGTCCAGCACGGGGAATTAACATATAACTAGCTGGGTTCTAACTACTGTGTAGAGCCCCTGGATTCCACCTGCAATTTAACCAACTGCTAAGGTGCACAGCAGGTGCTCAGTAACAGATGGCGGCTCCGTTTCCCTGGCGAGCTAGCTGGCAAGACTTAGCTGAACCAAGGGAGGGCCACTGGCTTTATTTTCTTTAACATCTTTATTGAGATTTATATACTACAAATTTCACTCATTTAAAGGATACAATTCCATGATCTTTAGCACATTCACAGAGTTGTGTGACCATCACTGTAATCTAATTTTAAAACATTTTTGTCATCCCAAAAGAAATCCCTAGCTCCCCTGTCCTCCCCCCACCCACTCATCTACTTTCTGTCTGCATGGATCAGCCTATTCTGGAAGTTTTCATGTGAATGGAATTATGCAATATGTGGCCTGTTGTGTCTGGCTCCTTTCACTGAGTGCGATGTGTTGGAGGTTCATCCATGTTATAGCGTGAATCCTCTCATTCCTTTTGACTGCTGGGTACCATTTCATTGCAGGGATGTCCAGGTCAAGCATACCAAATTTCAAAATCTGAAACTTCCTGAGCACTGACATGATGCTCAAGGGAAATGCTCATTAGAGCATTTCAGATTCTGGATTGGGGATGCCCAGCCAGCAAGGATAATGCCAGTATTCTGAAATCTGAAACTTGAGTAAGGGATTCCCAACTCATGCTAATCCTCACTGGTTGGCATCTGAGTTCCCCACATACCTGCAGCTTTTCTTACCTCATCTGTGGGGAGCCGGACCAGGACATGTAGAGCAAGATGAGGAAGAGGAGCAGCACAAAGGCAGCCAGGCTCACCCAGAAGACAATGACAATGGAATCTGCAGGAGGAAGAGATGCATCTTAATGTCAGGGAGGACACACAGGAGCCCCAGCTGCTGGGGAGTCAGGGCCCCGAGGGCAGGTGTCCACTCTTCATCCAGTCTCTTAGCTCTGACTACTGGGAAGACCTTCCACTAACCATAAAAAGAGGGAAGCTAGGAGGTGGCTTTTTCTCAGGGAGGACAGTGAAGGAGACTGTGGCACCACATGGATCTGCTTTCTTGGCTCTAGTACTGCTCAGCCCTGAAGAATGGGGTGGCCCCGCTAACTCCTGGGAGGGTGAAGAAAGGACTGTGGGCAGCTCCATGTGCCAGGATGGACTCCTGCCCGTAGGGAGGGTGCAGCACCTACCAGGCACCTTTGGTGGAGCAGCTTCAGAGACCCTGAGAGTTCAAAACGTGGAAGGAGGACTCCAGGGCGGTTAGGCAAGGCTGGGGTCAGTGAGATGGAAAGAGCGGGTCGTTTCCTCATCTCAGCGGCAGTGTCAGGAAAGACAAAGTGCTTTTGCAGCCAGCCTTACAGTGGTATTGTGCCCCTACGCTAAGAGAGCAAAGAAAATTCAGGAAACATACTTAGCCTCTGGGGCGGCTCCCGTGGCTCAAAAGGGTAGGGCACTGGTCCCATATGCCAGAGGTGGCAGGTTGAAACCCAGCCCCGGCCAAAAAAAAAAAAAAAAAAACATACTTAGCCTCTTTGGGGCCCTGGATAGAACTCAGCAGGTCAGCAGGGACCTTTCTCAGGGCGCTAATTGGGAGCATTTGGCAAGTTGCCAGGGAACAGCTCCCCTGCAGCAATTTTCTTTGTGGTTTCTGTGGCTACCAGCACAGGCCATTGGTAATTAGTGCCTGCAGGCATCTTACCCCAGACCAACTGCATGACTCTAGAACAAGAAGCTGGGACATTACGGACACCTACGTGCGTGACTAGAAGAAGCATCATAATACAACAAGTATTTGTTGTGAGCCAGGCTCTGCCAGGGGCAGGTAAGGACTCAGAGGGGCCAAACCTGCACATCAGAAATTGCTGACAGGCCAGGCTCAGTGGCTTAACGCCTGTAGTCCCAGCCTCTTGTTAAGGCAAGAGGATCTCTTGAGCCCAAGAGTTTGAGGTTGCTGTAAGCTATGACAACACAGCACTTTATCGATTGCAACAAAGTGAGACTCTCAAGGAAATTGCTACAGACACCTGTCACCCCAACCTCTTCTGAACAGCAGCACATCCGGCACTAGGCCCGCTCAGCCTTGTGTTTGTTGTGTTTGAACAGAAGAATGATCATGAATGAGGGAGTGCACCAGCCACGGAAGGAATGAATGGGTGTTAGAGATGTGAGTCGCCTATGCAGAGGTGGAGGGGGAAGTTCAGGGTGAGGGATGGGACTTCAGTAAAGCATTGTCATCTCTGCTTTCAAGGACAACCCCACAGGTGGAAGGAGAAACTGAGGCCCTATGTGAGTGGATCTTGGCCTGTTCAATGTTAACAGCTAACAGGGTATGATAAAAAGGTACATAACTCACAAAAAAGAATTATGAGTGACCATTGCTTAGCAAGGCATCAGCCACCAAGAGGCAAAGTCAGTAGCTCGCCAGGCTTTTATCTGTCCCTGAGCTGAGAAACTAATGGTGGCTCCCTGGAACAGGAAACCGATTAGGGGGACCTCTGGGCTTCTGGGGAATAGGAAATGAGGTTGGACCGTCTGTCCTAAGCTTAAGGACTTCTAAAGAATCCACTAACCTCCTTGGCATTCCTGGCCTGCTCACTGGGCACTATTCTAACTTGCCAAGAGTCACAGTTTATTTTACAACTCTTAAGGGGTTATAAAGTGTAAGAGTACATGTGCCTGCTGAACACTGGGTTTGGGATTTTATTCTGGAAGGATAGGATATTTTAGATTTCTGCAGATTCTAATGCTCTTTTTTCTTTTCAAAAATAATACGGGAATTGAGGTCTTTAGTACCTAGGTAAGTTCTGCCAGGGACTCTTAAGAAAACAGCTTTAAAAATTTAGCAACTAAGAGCACCCCTTCTCCCAGGCTCATACTCATCTGTTTTAGCCCTTGTGAGTGCCCCCAGGTACTGAGCAAGAAATGAGACAGCACCTTTCACGGAACACAGTGTCATCAGGTGAGTAGAATTTAAATTCTCTTAGACCAGAAAGACCAATTGGCAGCCACTAGCCATTTTCTGTACTAAAATCACATTCTTCACATTCTGTTGAAAAGGGTAGCCAAGAAAATACAGTTCTTTTTCCTCTTCCTACTAAAAGTTCACCCAACTGCTTAGAGAGAACATTTTATTCCAAGGGCAAGAACTGTTGTTCCCAGTGAGGGAAATGTTTAAACATCCTGGGCTTGTTTTTGCAACAGGGAGCCCCAGGCTGGGTTGACGATGAAACTGGCTCGGCCCTAGAAACTTCCCTCCCCTCCCACTTTTCCTCCTTTTCTTCCCTTCTCTTCTTCCTTTGCTCCCCTCCTCCCTCTCTCATGCTTTCCTTTCTAGTCCACACTGGCAGAATGAGGGGAATTAGGCATCATCAGTGGAGTGGCAAGAAATGATTCCAGGGGATGGGCATGGTGGCTCATGCCTCTAATCCTAACACTTTGGGAAGCCAAGTTCAAGACCAGTCTGAGCAACACACAAAAAGTAGGAAAATTAGCTAGGCACGTGCCACCTTGTCTCCAAACAAGAAGGAAAGAAGAAAGAAAGGGAGGGAGGGAAGGAAAATACATACTACATATATATGTGTGTATAGATAACACGTGCACACACACACAGTTTATCACCATGTATGTTCCATAGAATAAGCTGTGGCCACCAAAAGTCAGTTTCAAAAAGTTCTCAAGTGATAACAGAATCCATCAATCCTTCAAGCATAGCACTCCTTGGGGTCACCTTGATGGAAATGTATTCAGAGGTAAACATTCTGGTACAGTTGTTTAAAAATTGCTTTTACTACTTATGTCATGCCCACGGGAGCAACCATGAAGAGTTTGAAGTCCTGATTAAGGTTGTGGCCTGAAACTGACTGCTCTGACTAAGAAAAAGAGAGTTATATGTAGGTTCAACCTATATCTTGACTTCTCTATAATAGCACTGAGACGAGATTGGCTAGTGGTGTGTTTTTCTCCTGCTCGTAGCTCTCGGAGAAGCAGATGAACAGACCGTCTTACTGAAGCTGCCAGAGGCAGTGCATCAGCGGAAGTCAATACGGACTGTGACAAATCCTTCCTAACTCATAATTAAAGGGAAGGAGATATGTTGACCTAAAAGGTAAATAATAGAGCACTAAAGCCAGACATTTCTCAGGGGAAATCAGTGCATCCTGCTACTTTTCTGAGAGCAAACGTTAGGTCAGTGCCTGGAGATTCATTCTACTAGTAATCTGTATCATAGCTGTAAGATTGCAATGCGGGATTGGTTGTCTTCTAAGCTTAGCTTTTGAAAGGGGCACGAACAGAAGACATATAATTAGTCAATTCAGACAGAGCCTCAGAAAACAGATTTGCAATTTTTTACTTTGTTAACAGTGTTGGAGAAATTCTTAACCTTTCCTTGAAACGGTCAGAAGCCACCTCCAAAAATTACAAGGGTGAAGTGATTTTCCCTTTCTTGTGAAATGCCCATAACAAAATTTTACCAGATTCTGAGCTGTCCCTGGGAAAGAGCAGCCCACAGCCTTCAACTCGGCACTTGATGCTTTATATATAAAATACACACACACACATACACACAATATCTGTCCAGCGTGGTGGAATAAATTCCAGCAAATGGACAGGAACACAGAAATCTTAAACCCTTCCTGCTTAACATGGGAGTCCTGGGTATTTTCTTTCTGTTTTGACTCCTCTGTGCAGCACAAGAGTCAAACCCTGGCCTGCCACATCTCAGCCAGCTGCCCCAGGTAACCTTCTGGTCTTGCTGTTACTCTTGCTCAGACTAATCTTGAAGCCTCTTCGATCCCATCGTGAAGCACCCGTGGGCTCTCGGAGCCATTCCCAGCTTCTTCCTGTCTTTGACATGCACTGCTGCAGAGAAGGTTTGCAGAACTGAGCTATGATATTTTCCTATTTATTTGACTGAGGAGGGGACCCAACTCCAAGGAACTGGCCAAGCCTGAGAACGTCAAATTCAATGGCAAGGGTGACCTGCTCTCTTATGTGATGGCTGTCCACCCTTGCCTAAACGCATGCTTGCCTGACCGTGAAAGCCATGGAACAAAGCATCCCTGAGGCGCCTGGCACTGCCTTTTGTTGATTATTACGGAAAACAAAAGTGACACAGTGATAATGATGTGGATGATGGTTTCTGTTTTTCCATTAAAAAAAAATTTAGAGACAGGATCTCACTCTGTTGCCCAGGCTAGAGTGTAGTGGCATTTATTTCATAGAACTGGACATTTGCTTTGCTAACTACAGTGGCTGGTAGACATTTTTCAAAAGTTAAGAGTGAGCATGATGCCACTGTGAGGCCTACTCAAAATTTCAGTGAGAGGTAGGGAAAAAGCTGGCCCCACGGAGTAGGTTTGCAGGGCTGTTAGGAGAGAAAGCCCTGGGTTGGTGGTGCTTTCTTATAGCAGCCCTAGCAGACTAATGCCCTTGGTCATTCCTCCCTCAGCCCTGGGATCTCAGAGAATTGCCTTATTCTTTATATTAACAGTTACTTTCATATCATGGATAATAGTTCTCAGTAAGAACTTAGTTAGAACTTAGTTCTAACCTACTGTGTGGTTTCTATCTCCTGATTGAGTACAGACTGCTACAGTGTCCCTCCATGTCTTCTTACTCTTCTGTATAAACACACAGAACCGGCACCCAGAAAGAGCAGGATTCACGCAGTGTACTCGGAGAGCTGTTCTCAGGAGTTCAAGACCAGTCTGAGCAAGAGCGAGACCCACTCAAGTGATCCTCCTGCCTTGGCCTCCCAGAGTGCTAGGATTACAGATGTGAGGCACTGTGTCTAGCCACCCATCACCCATTTAAAGGCCCTATCTTCAAATACAGTTC